GCACCCTGGGGTGGCCCTGGGCTCCCTGGAAACATGGGGACTCTCTAGTGAACCCTGAGCACCCTGGAGACTAGAGAGGCTTTGGAGGGGACCTATGCTCCTTGGAAACAAGGGAGGTCTGTTAGGGTGTCCTGGGCTCATTCAGGATTTGGGGGAGAGGTCTGTTGGTGTGCCGTGGGCTCCCTCTGGACTCTGGGGACTTTTTGGAGCAGCCCTTGCCTCCGTGAAGATGTTGGAGAGCTTTGGGAAGCTCAGGGCTTCCTGCAGGCCCAGGAGAGGCTGTGGGGCTTCCCTGTGCCTGGGGCACCTGGTCGTGAGGGTTCATGTAGGGATCCCCATTAAAAGTTGGTGGGAATCTCGGCTTCCTGTAGCTGGGACATGAAGGGGTTTTCAATTTCTTCTTTCTTCGTGGTGGTTCAGCTGGGCCATGGCTGGGCGTGGGGGCCTGGGCCTGCTTCTCCCCTGCTCCATGGGGGTTGTGAAGTCTGGTTTAATACCATGTCCTCTCCCTTGCAGGCTTGGCAGGGGATCGCTAGAGAAAGCCTGCTGATGCAGACTGCCCTGGCATTTGGTGGGGAGGGGGGTCCTAACAGGTTGTGTTGGCGAAAGGCCTCGTTTGCCGTAAAGCACCTAGTTTAGAACAGCAGGAAAACGCCTTGCTGAATCTCGTGCCTCAGGCAGAAGATTCTGTGTTCCCGTTTCCTGCCAGCACAGGACAGGTGCTTCCCATTTTCTTCCGAGCATCCAGCCGTGCAAAGGAACAGTCCATGGCTTAAGAAGTGTTTTGAGGGCAGGCAGGAGGCGAGGGAGATTCTCTCAAGCTATGTCTCCTTGAGGCGTGCCTGTGCTTTGGTCTGCTTGCCATCATTCACAGTACATATTGTAACTATATGATGCGCCCTAAATTTCTCTGGAATAAGGGTCTGATCTGGTACCACTAAAATCAGCCTTTGACTTGAGTGTTTTCGGTATCAAGCCCATAAGTTCTAGCACAGCTGAGACTTTCAGGTTACTTGGCGCATCTGTCTAAGTTAGCTTTTCTTTTTCCCCTCCATTCAAGATGCGACTGTGTACGTGGGCGGCTTGGACGAGAAGGTCAGTGAGCCGCTGCTATGGGAGCTCTTTCTCCAGGCAGGACCAGTGGTCAATACCCACATGCCCAAGGATCGAGTCACAGGCCAGCACCAAGGTGAGATTTTTACTGTTCCCTCTCCAAATGTGCACGTTGGGTAAAATGTTTGAAGGGAGGTGGTCAGAGAGGTTATTACAGGAGGAAAGGTGAGGGTTGCACCGTGTTTCAGTAGGCGATGATATGTTGTCGGACTGAGGTACCTCGCACGAGCGTAGTTGCCCTCAGGACAGATCATCTACCTTGCCTTATGGGGAGCCCTGGCCACTTCTGCTTTTCAGTCAGGCCGAGTTGGTGCCTGCAGGCAGATGAGCAGTGGGAGCAGCATGCCCCTTAGAGGAAGCACGGAGCAGTGCGAGGCTGTGGGTCCGCAATGTGGTAAAGCTCTGTTTGGGGACCTGTTGCAGGCTACGGGTTTGTGGAGTTCCTCAGCGAGGAGGACGCGGATTACGCCATTAAGATCATGAACATGATCAAGTTGTACGGGAAGCCGATACGAGTGAACAAAGCCTCGGCCCACAACAAGAACCTGGATGTGGGGGCCAACATCTTCATTGGCAACTTGGACCCCGAAATCGATGAGAAGCTGTTGTACGACACATTCAGCGCCTTTGGGGTCATCCTGCAGACACCCAAGATCATGCGAGACCCCGACACGGGCAACTCAAAGGGCTATGCCTTCATCAACTTTGCCAGCTTCGATGCCTCCGATGCTGCCATTGAGGCCATGAATGGACAGTACCTCTGCAACAGGCCCATCACCGTCTCCTACGCCTTCAAAAAAGATTCCAAAGGCGAACGGCACGGCTCAGCCGCCGAGCGGCTCCTGGCAGCCCAGAACCCGCTCTCGCAGGCTGATCGGCCCCATCAGCTGTTTGCTGACGCTCCTCCTCCTCCATCTGTCCCTACCCCTGTGGTCACGTCCCTGGGACCTGGCGTCACACCTCCAGGTGGGTAACTCTCCGGGGGCTGGAGGAGTGTTTGTCGCTCCCTCAGGGATCTGTGGAAACTCTGCTCACACCTGGCAGTGGTCCCCGCTGGTTAGAGCAGGGACTGGCAGCAGGACTCCTGGGTCCTGTTCACCGTCAGTCGCCGATCCTGGGGGTGGCTGCGAGCAGAGCTGGAGGGCTGCGTTGCACCGTGCCTCGTGCAGAACTGCCAGGTGTTGCGTTTGGATGCTCTGGGCGGCAGCATTGCGTGGCGCTTCTCTGGGGCACAGTGTGAACCCTGTAGGTTGACTAAGGCTGGCAGGACTGTCAAGAAATCATCTTCCTTCCCACCCCTTCTCACGGCAGGATCGATTCAACCTATACTGACCCTGACCAGCATGTGATGCTGGGACACGGCTCTAGTGGAGGTTTTTCCAGTGCTGAGTGAAAGGATTTTGGGGCTGTGATTCCACCTGCTGGGTTTTCTTTTTGTTGCTGCTGTTGAGGCTGTTTATGTCTTCACCTCCTCCCCAGTTGCCTGGGAGGTTTTTTCTTATTTTTGGTTTCTGTTTGTTATCCACTGTACTGCGCTAAGGTCTCGCTGTCTCTCTCTTGCCAGGCATCCCACCCCCAGGATCATTCCCACCGCCGGTGCCACCCCCTGGAGCGATGCCCCCTGGCATGCCTCCTGCCATGCCACCCCCACCCATGCCGCCAGGAGCCGGTGCCCCCGGCCCCCCTTCTGGGGCCACTCCCAGCGGAGGACACCCACCTCACCCGCATCCCTTCCCGCCGGGTGGGATGCACCATCCAGGTAAGCAGCAGGCAGGCGTCAGACTCGGGGAAGACCTAGCTTCTCTTCTGCTTCTTTTGGGTGGGTTTGGGTAAATCACCTCCTCCTGTTTCTTCCCCAAGATTCCCCTTCCGGAAAATAGGGAGAAAGCTACTTTATCCTGCATAAGGTACTGAATGCAGTATTATTGTGAGGTGGGCAGGAGAATATGTCAGTTAGCTACCTAGACATTAATTCTATTCAGTGCAAAGAAGCAGCAGCAACATGGATTCCCGGCACTGTATTTGTTTGTGTGCTGGCTGTGTCTTCCCCCAAGATTTTGCTCTCTGCAGTACAGGGCAGCCTGCTGGTTACCCTGCTCCCTGGGAGAAAAGGGAGGAACTGTGTAGGAGCAAGTGCAACACGTCAGTGGTGCTGCGTCTGGTTTCTGGGTTTCTCTCCTATATGTTCTAAAATGTGCAAAAAATAGCTTGGAGCGGGGCCCAGTGGGATTTCTAAAGCGCTTTGGTAATTTAGGAGATGGTGCCCTTGTGAGAGGCATCCAGGCAGGTCAAGACATTAGTTTCCTTGAGCTGTGAAGGTGCAGGGCATAGGAAGGCAAGGTCAGTCGCAGTGTAGGCTTTTCGGGTCTCTAGGAGAACTGGTGCTGTTCTGACTGGAAAGATGTTAATGAAACTCCAAGTCATTGTCATTTTCCCTGGGTGTAAATTAATACGTTAAGTGTGAACCTTCTTAGTACACTTTGTGGCTCTGCTAAGCAGAAGCTAATTCAAGACATGAGAACAAAATGTTTCTTTGATTTCTTTCCATTTTTAGTCCTGTAGTACTGGGGAATGAGCAGTGCATACATCTAGACTGTGGTTTTGAATTTGAAAATTAAGTGAAATTTGCATTGATTTAAAAAAAAAATATGTCTTGATTTAATATATATTTTTTTCTAATCCTGCCTGCTCTGAAATGACCCCAGTGTTGAGTGTTACAGGGCGCTCTCCTGTGCTGGCTGATTAGGGTGCTTTGTCTGATCGTGGGTCTGGCCGTGTGAGTGACCAGATGGCTGCTGCTGTCCCTGATTACAAGCTGGCTTTTCAGGCTTTGGAGTAGCCAATTACATATGGCAAGCGAAAGCCTGGCTGAGTGCTTCCACGGTGCCTGCCCCGTGGAGCTGCACCAGGCTCTTGGGTTTCTGTTAAGGAGAAAAATATCTGTTTTTTAAAGGGGAAGAAAGAACAGAATAATGGAAAAATATAGATTGGGAGGGACCTCTGGAGGTCTCGGTCCAAGCTTCAGCCTGCAGCATGGCCAGCTGCAAAGGTTATTCAGGGTCTCCTCCAAAATCTCTGAGGATGGTGATTCCTCTCTGAGCCACAGTCCCATGTTTGCTGTCAAGTGTTTTGCCCCCGCCCAAAGCCTTGTTCCAACTGGCCTTTCCTAGTCTGCAACTTATTCGTGTTGCCTCTTGCCCTTTCAGTGTGCACCTCTGAGGAGAGCTTGGCATTTCCTCCTCTCTAACCTCGCTTTGAGTAGCAGAAAACCCTTTGCAGACTCTGTTTCCTCCTTTGTACCTGACATGTAACCATACAGCTGGAATTACTGTCCTTCCTGCCCTGAGCTCTGGACTGCTGCATGCCCAGAGCTGCCGTGGCGCGAGCAAGCGAGTGACTCCCCTCGTTTTGGGTGTCTCTTAACCTTTTGTTCCCCTAGGAATGCCTCCCATGCAAGTGCACCACGGACCACCCGGGATGGGCCAGCATCATCCAGGACCGCCGGGCTCTGGAGGCCAGCCTCCCCCGCGGCCCCCGCCCGGCATGCCACACCCCGGACCCCCACCCATGGGTATGCCGCCCCGAGGGCCTCATTTCGGGTCGCCCATGGGTAAGTGGGTGCCTGCGAGAGGCGGTATGTGTTCTTTTATTTTGAACGTACACTTTATTGAGTTAAGCGCTTGCTTCGGTCCCCCACCCCACCTTCCCTCTTCCCTTGCTTAACGGAGACGTGAAGGAGGCGATATTACAGCCTCCCTGTGGGGAAGTGTTTTGGAGCAAGACCTGGCAGCGATGAGCTGCCAAACAGGGTCTCCTGGGGCTTTCCTCGTGTTCGTCGCGACGTGGGGCTTTGCATGTGGGGGACAGGGCTAGAAGGGGGTATGGCAGGACTGTCTGGTGATCTTCCGCACCTCTCCAGTGGGGATGCTGACTGGGCTTTGCCATCAGGGAGGGTTCCTGAGACCTGTCGTGTCCCCCGAGTGGGGAGGGAGGGTGTGGGAGGCTCGTGGGCACGTGTCGGGGTCCCAGATACCTGCCTGCCTTGCTCAGAGGGGACCTGGAAGAGGTGGGTTGGTAAAACTGATCCTTACGGTGCAGCCCACACAGCGATGCCACCGCTGAACGTTTGGCTGCTATGTTGCCCCTCTGATAGGGACAGTCACGTCCTGGGCTTGGGGGGCCACACGAGGGCATCCCGGCTGATGCAGCTGGCTCCTGCGGTGCCGAGAGGCTGCAGCCCGCTCGCTTGGCTGAGGCTAGGCTCTGGCTGAAGGTGTTTCAAGTGGGTTAGTCCTGTATCGAGTGGATCCCCCCTCTTAGCTCCCAGGCTGATGCTTGGGGCTCCTATCAACCTTTCAGTTTGCAGATGAGTTCCCCATCCCGCGGGCACCAGCTAGAACTGGCACCCAAGGGTGGGGCTTGTATGGGGTGTTTCCACTTCCCCCCCCCCCCCCCCCCCCCGCGCGGGGGGGGGGGGT